GGCAAAGCAGGGGGGGAGAGCAGGAGGAAAGAACACCCACACTATGGAGGAAGATATCTCAGCATAGTGCCTAAAGTTTAAGGTGCTGGAGTCCCCAAGCTCACCTGGTTACTGCCTCTGCCTGGCACCCCACAGTAGGTGTTCACTGAAAGGTTGGACTAATTGTGGCTTTTGTTATGAAGAATGTTGTCGGTTTCGTATGGGGTTAGTCTTTGCTTTGTGTTGGCCCTTTTCCAGCCGCTGGTCTGAGTGAGGCTGTTACCATAAGCAGAGGTTTGGGAAGAGGGCACTCAGAGGAGCAGCAGCTCCTAACGGTCTGCAGAGGTTTGTGTGGGGGAAGGGAACTGGACATAGCCTTCCTCGTGTTGTTTAGACCTTAAGCCAGGCAGCATTTGCTTCTGAAGGGATCTTGGTGAGCTCTGCCCTGTGCTCTCACATGGTCCCTTGTGAGATTCTCTCCCCTCTCCTGGGACTCTGGGACTAAAGTGACAGGCTTGTGGGACAAGGGTACAAAAATGTGGTTTCCCTGTTACTCACATCTCTTTGTTAGCCCTCTCAGCTCAGGTCTTAGGAAGCAAGCTCGCACTTTAAACGGTCCCGGTCCTGTGAGGCAGACTTCGGTGGTCATTAGCTGAGAGCTGCCTCGGGGCATCGCCAGGGAAAAGAATGCAGTCAGTCCTCGCGTTAGCTTGCAAGTGTCTGCATTAGCCAGGATTCTCAGGGGGAACGGGACTGATTTTGGCTTGGTGGTTCATGTCTATATCCCCAGCACTGACACTGAGGTAGGAGGATCACCAAGAGGTGGAGGACAGCCTGGGCTCCATAGTGAGCCTAGGCTACAGAGCAAGACTGTTTCCAAAAGATAAAACAGGGGACTTGGTGATATGGCTCATCAGGTAAAGCTCTTGCTTAGCAAGACTGACAGCCTAAGTTCAATTCCCAGAACCCACATAATATTTGGAGGGCACCAACTCCATGAATTTGTCCTCAGACCTCTATAGCCACACAATGGTACCCAGGCACACATACAAACAGTAATAATAATGATGATAATGACAAAGACAGTACAGATTGGGCATGGCGGTGAACTTCTACAATCCCAGTTTGGTAAGTAGAGGCAGGAGGACTAAGGGGTTTGGAGTCATTCTATGCTATATAAGGAATTTGAGGCTAGTCTGGGCTACATGAAATCTTTTCAAGAAAAAGTTAGCTTGTTTAATTTTGAGGTGAAAAAGTCACCCTTGCCGGATAGTAGTGACAGCTCATCCTTTCAATCCCAGCACTCGGGAAGCAGAGGCAGGTAGATCTCTGGGAATTCCAGGCCAGCCTGGCCTACAGAGCGAGTTCCAGGACAGCCAGAGTTACACAATGAGACACTGTCTCAAAAAACAAAAACAAAACAAAACCAAAAAAGTCACCCTGACCTGCTGTCTGCAAGCTGGAGACTTAGAAAAGCCAGTACTGTTTGTACACCAAAGGCCTGTACACCAAGGAGGGAACCGCTAGTGTAAATGCCAGCCCAAGGGCTGAAGAAGACTGGCATCTCAGTTCCAGCAAGCAGGCAAGCAACAAAGGGTGGATTCTTCCTCTCTTTGCTCATAGGGCCTTTGAAGGACGAGGTGATACCCAGCCACACCAGGGAAGGCTGTCTTCTGATGCTAATCCCTTCTGGAAACATATTCACTGACACAGTAGAAATGATGTTCAATCTGGGCTCCCTGTGGCTCAGTGACGCGTAAACTAACCACCACATGGCTTCTTCCCTAGCCGAGCTTCCAGAAAGGACCACAGTCCCTGCTGATGCCTTGCTAGCAGCCCCGTGCAAGAGGACCCAGTTAAGTCATGTCTGGGTCCTGACTTAAGTCATAAAATACATGACTGTTGCTTAAGAAGTGATGGCACTAGCGGTTATAGGTAATGCAATTTACCTACAGAAAAGTACACAGGGGAGCAAAGCTGGCATCAGAAAAAGCCGAACATACCTGTGTAACCAGTATCCAGGCCAAGGTACAGAGACCAGGCTTGGGAATGGCCACTCACATTTCCTGTGAGTGCCTTGGCCTCCCAGGCTCTGGGATTACAAGTGTGGAGCACCATGCCTGGCTTTGCTGTTTCTATCATATCTTAGATGGGTTCATACCATGTGTGCAAACAGTTTTTGCAGACTCTCCGATTCCAAAGTGCTCTGAGGATCACCCAGACACAAAGAGAACCAGCGCCTGACAAATTCGCCAGGAGTTAACCTTTACTGACTCCATCTGGGAGCAGGCAGACTAATTCTAGAACAGAAATCCTGGCTTCTGGACAGAAATTGTCCCAGAACAGGAGGAACACCTCATTTGGCTCTTATGTCCCACGAGTCTTTAAAGCAATCCCCTTACCCTAGTCTCTTCTCTCTCCTTGTCTTTTGCCTTTTACTCAATTTTCCAAGTAAGCATGCCCAGAGAAAATAAAATAAGCACTTCATATTTAAGCACTTTCCCCTCTGACACCCTAGGGTTTGGGCTTTTGTTTTCAGAAGTCTTTCGAAGGTTTCATTATTAGGGGTCAGTAGCAACCAAGTAGGATTAAATCCAAGACACAGCAATCAGATTGAGTTTTTGGACCTAGTTGCTAATAACTTAGTACTCTTGAAAACAACTCTTACTATGATTGGAGGTCTATGTTATACATGTAATACAAGTTATATAGCCAGGCATGGTAGGACAGTTCTGGGATCCCAGCACTTGGGAGGCAGAGGCAGAAGGATCACCAAGTTTCAGTTTGTCCTGGATTACATGGTACATTCCAGAGTACTTGGCCTCAAAAAGTCAAAAGAAAATATATTTGTTATGTCATTTAAAAAACAAAACAAATAAACCAAACCAAAATCAACTCCTATAGGGCTGGAAAAATGAGTTGGTGTTCAAGAGCACTTGTTCTTGAAGAGGATCTAGGATCAGTTAGTTCCTCAGTTCCCAGCATCGCTATGGTAGCTCACACTCAAAACCACCTATAACTACAGCATCGGGGATCTGATGCCCTCCTCTGACCTCTGCAGGCTCCAATGCTCTCCTCTGGTCTCTGCAGGCTCCAACACTTCCACTCTCTCCTGATCTCTGCATACTCGTGGTGCACAAATACACACACACAGACACACACAAACACACACAAAATAAATAAACTTAAAAAGAGTCCCCAAGCCAAATACTCTTGGTAGGTTATTAAAATATGAGATTAAACAATACATACAGGGACTGGAGAGATGGCTCAGTGGTTAAGAGTACTTGCTGCTCTTCCAGAGGTTCTGAATTACCTTCCCAGCACTTGTGTCAGGACCGTTTCTAATTCCAGCTCCAGAGGATCCAGTGCCTCTGGCTTGCAAGGGCACCTGCACTCATGTGTACATATGTGATATGTAAACACACATGCCAAAACATAATTTAAAATAAGTCTTAAAAAAAAAGACAGTATTTAGTGGGGTGTGGTGGTGTATGCCTTTATTTGTTTTATTTTATTTTTGGTTTTTCAAGACAAGGTTTCTCTGTGTAACAGCCCTGGCTGTCCTGGAACTCACTTTGTAGACCAGGCTGGCCTGGAACTCACAGAGATCCGCCTGGCTCTGTCTCCCGAATGGTGGGATTAAAGGCGAGCGCCACCACCGCCCAGCTGATGTATGCCTTTAATCCCAGCACAGAGGCAGGCAGATCTCTGTTGAGTTTGAGGCCAGCCTAGGCTACAAATCGAGTTCCAGGACAATGAAGGCTGTTACACAGAAAAAACTTGTCTCAAAAACAAAACAAAACAAAACAAAACAAAACCAAAAACCCCAGTATTTATAAATGAAGAAACAGAAGTTAAACGATTTAGCTGACATCATGGAAGTTTTGTACAGCCAGAGAGAGAGGCTGACTGGAAGCAGACACAGGTTTAATCTTGAGGTTTAAAGATTCTTGAGGCTTGGCCATTATTGTAGCACCCTGAAGAGCTTGAAACTAAAGTCTGTTTTCAGTCAGGACCAGCTGGGGTGCCAGGCAGAGCTTTTTCCCCTCTCTGACATGGGGTCTCACCCTGGACCCTAGCTTAGCCCGGAATTCAAACATGTTGAAATCATTGTGTCTTCGTCTCCTGAGAGCTGGCATTACGGGTGGGAGCTATGAGGCCCTGTTCCACACATCTGGGCCTTCTTTTTGCTTTTTACTTTTTATCCTAGACAGGGCCTTATATATTACAGGCTGGCTTTGAACTCTGACCTTCTGATCCTCTTGACTCTACTTCCTGAGTGTAGTGTGTGTCACTGGGCCAGGCTGGTTGCTCTTTCTTTTTCTTTCCTTTTTTTTTTTCCTTTTCTTTTCTTTTCTTTTTTTTTT